TCGATGACCTCTCGAGGTCCCTTCCAGTCCTAGAATCTATGAATCTAGGGAGGTGGTGGAATCTCCATCCTTAAAGGTTTAAGGCCCGCCTTGACAAAGCCCTGGCTGGGATAATTTAGTTGGGGTTGGTCCTGCTTTGAGCAGGGGGTTGGACTAGATGACCTCCTGAGTTCCCTTCCAACTCTGAGATTCTATGATTCTATGGACACCCTTAAGGACACAAAGAAGCACCATGAGGGACTAGAAACATTCAGCTCTATGCAGGTCACATGTTTATTTGACTCATTGCATTTGTCTGAAGTTTCAGTTTAACAAAAAGGCCTTGAATGAATTAAAGTTGCTGCCTAAAGCCACTTCTTTTGGAAACCCTGCTAGGACCATGCGGCCATACACCCACCAGCTGAGATCTGGACGTCTGTTACAATCCTCTCTGGCCTTGGGAACTTCACTGGTGCTGCTGCCAACTCAGCTATAGCCAGCATGATCTGGTCCCAGAGGATCAGAAGAGGCTCTGGGTTCTCTATATGGCGGATGGTGTCAGCAGGCACAGTCAGGATAATGTTCTCAGTAGCTAGTTCGGCCCAGGGAGCAAGGTAGTGCCGGATGCTGTCCAGCCACTGGCATTTACAGGTCTCTCCTGTAGCAACATGGAAAACACATTAAATGTACCCCAGTCTCTCAGGGTATGTCTACATCCAGCCGCTAGTTCGGCGGCTGGCAATCGAAGTTCTGGGTTCGACTTATCGTGTCTTGTCTGGACGCGATAAGTCGAACCAGGAAGTGCTCGCCGTCGACTGCGGTACTCCAGCTAGACGAGAGGAGTACCGCGGAGTCGACGGGGGAGCCTGCCTGCCGCGTGTGGACCGAGGTAAGTTCGAACTAAGGTACTTCGAACTTCAGCTACGTTATTCACGTAGCTGAAGTTGCGTACCTTAGTTCGATTTGGGAGTTTAGTGTAGACCAAGCCTCAGTTACACTCACTGAGTGTTGGCTGCAAATGTGTGACTTCTTCTCAGGAATAATAGTACTTGGCATTTATAGAGCACTTCACATTTTTTAAGTGCTGGATGGGCATTAATAAGTTAATCCTCACAGCTTTCCTAGGAACTATCACTGTCCCCCCGGTAGTGATAGTCAGATTAAGTGACTTGCCCATGGCCACACAGTAAGGCTGTGGCAGAGCCAAGAACAGTACTCAAATCTCCAACTTCGCAGCTCATTGCCTTAAGCACTAGATCCTTCCTCATTTCACTGCTGAGCCTCCTGTCTAGTAATTATCTCCTATCTTTACATGAGTCCCCCCTCTATACATCCAAACAGTCATGCTATTTAAGCATGTTATGGGCAAATCAAGTCCACAGCTTGTGAAAAGTGGGTTCCAAATCCACGTCATTCCTCCCCCCCAAAAAAACAAAGTAAAACCAAATCAATATGGGGTGATTGACAGGGGACACCTGAGTCGCTGTCCACATTTCTCTAAGTGACTTCTCTTCCAGCGAGTGAGATTGGCAGGCATCAAATAGCAACGCACTGGTTTTGTTTGGACTGATGGAGGAAAAAGAAATTTCGTAAACCAATAAAGAGAAGACTGATGGGAAATGCAGCATACACATCAAAGGGGCGGTTGTGGATTTCTATTGTAGTGACAGGACATGGTCACACAGGGGCAGCACAGGGAAAGGGGGAGGAATGAGGAAAGGGCTGGTGGAAATCTTTCAAGAGGGCAATAAAAAGTTGACAGTTTTCAGCAAAAAAGAAAGAAAATAACAATCCCAGTTTGTCATTTTTCTGGGAATTCTGATTTTAACCATTTGGACTCTGGCTATATTTAATGCCACACATTTTGGCTTGGGTGCACACGCGCGGCACTTTGAGAGGGGCTCAGGGGAAAGGCCCCAAGGGATGAACACCTACCCAGTCTGAAGTAGGGAACCTTGACTGCCCCTTCCACAGTGATGGGCACTTTGCCCAGCTGGCTTCCCCCTGGCACGAGGATGTAAATGAGGCCGCCCCAGAGGCAGGAGACTGACTGCTTCTGGCAGCTGACCTGGCACTTGCGTATCACCATGGGGGCCCGTTTCAGCTCCTTTGCAGCGGTGAGGTCATCAGAGTGACACCCGATCTGCACCTGGGGAACAGAAGGGCAGGAAGAGCAGGGTCAGGCACTCCAGGCTCCAGATTGCAGCCCCACTCCCTCTGCCTCAGGGCCTGTCTGAAGTAGAGCCCACACAGCTGCAGGGCACTGATTGCCATCCAGCCCTGTGGTGACCAAACGCAATTGCTGTCTGACTGCTGTATGTGAAGCAAGAGATCATAAAGCTCAGTGCAGCTCGTAAGAGGGAAGCTGTGCCCCTCACAAAGCCATCTACAGCCCTAGCACTAAGGCTCAGGTCCTCAAAGGTATTTAGGTGAATTGACTGATTTCACTGGGAGTTCGGCACCTTTGAGGACCTGGGCTGGAATGCCTCCCTCATTAGAAGTCTCAACACAGGGGCCATAGATTGGCAGGGCCACAGTGACTGAACTCTCCCGTACCATTAGAGGTGTCCCTTGAGAGCAAAGAGGAAGCAAACTGGAGAAAGTACAATGTGTGGGTGAGATGCTGACTCGGGCTTTTGCCTCAGGCATCCCTGGTTAGAGAAAAATTCAGTCTCCAGGGCTCATTGCACCAGCATCAGTGTCATGTAAGCAGGGCCGGCTCTGGCTTTTTTGCCGCCCCAGGCAAAAAAGCCTCCGGCCGCCCCCCACAACCCCCCCACGCGGGGGCGGGGGGCGGCCCGAGCCCCGGGGGGGGGGGGGGGAGCCCCGGCCGGGGGCCCGCCCCCCCCCCTCCCCCCCCGGCGGCCAGAGTGCCGGGGGCAGGGCGGCGAGCCCAGCTGTGGCCCCGCTCTCCCCGGCGGCCGGAGCACTGCGCCGCCCCCCTCCAGGTGCCGCCCCAAGCACCAGCTTCGTTGCCTGGTGCCTGGAGCCGGCCCTGCATGTAAGGTAACACACGGATGTCTGCAATTTACTGTGGCAGGACCTTGTTCAGTAATGTCAGCAGCTGCCTGATCCCCTTCCCACCTTCCCTTGCTTCCCTGCACAGCTACAATGAAGCAGATATAGTGTGGAGAGCACAGCACCTCGGGGAGCAGCGAGAGCTGTGAAATAATCCAACCAACAAAGCAAAATGGGGAGGCATAAAACAGTCAAGAGAGGGCAGAAGAAATTGAGAGGAATTTTTAAAAATGTAATGGCATGAAACAGCCACAAGATGGCAGGAGAGCATAAGGAATGAGAAAGGAGCAGGCCTAGGCATAATACAGACTGATTCTTGAGAATCGTTGCAACTCATCTCGCTGATATGGGTACCTCACAAATGTATCAGTGTATAAAGGCCAGCCGGGTTAATAGAAATCACCTGCAGACCAGCACTGGTCGCCATGCAAGGAAACGTTATCACTGCCGTGTTCCCATCAGGTAGGTAAAGTCCTGTACTCATCCATGCTGTCCCACCTGTAGGGAATCACAGAAGAGAGGTCTGAATACAGAGCACTTAGGCTCAGGTCTTCAAAGGCATGCGGGCACCTAATTCCCAGTGAAAATAATGGGAGTTAGCCACCTAAATACCTCGAGGACCTAGGCCTTACTCAGCACTCCTGGCCCCTGCCCATTTCCATGCTTAAAGTAATGCAGTTTTGAGTTGCCAGAGTGAGAAGAAAGAATCTGATTTTTTTCTTGCTCAGAACTCTCAGAATTGGCCTGTGTGTTACCAGACCTGTTGACAACGTGCTGCTTGGCTGAAAGAATGAGAAATTTTAGCATAAGGGGCTTTTTTCCCCTAGCCCTAACTAACACATGGGTACCCTGACATTTCACTATAGTTGGACTTGTTTCTAGACAGTCACCCTAGGGAGTTGCAAACATCAGCTGCCCAGCAGAGACTGTAAAGCTGTGATAAGCAGCTGAGTTCTGAGCTCTTTATACTGCCCAAGCAGAAACTCTCCCTTAACTTGGAGTTAAGGTTGATCAAGTATATTTCAGCACAATTACTAAGGGCCAGATTGCCTCCTCCATTGAAGGTCATTGGACTACTTGTGCGAGTAAGTATGCAACAGTGTGAATAAAGACTCCACATCCAGCCTGAAAAAAAAGTCTATGCAATCACCAACTAAGCCACCATTCACACCCACAGCAAGCACAACTCACACCCCTTACATCATACACTCAGACTGCAACTCCACAACACTGTCACTTCTAACATGGAATCACTCCCAGCGCACACATGCAGTGCCCCACAATCACACGCAAACGTACAAGCTTGACACCAACCCGTCTGATTGGTGGAAATAGCCAGTGTGTTATTGGCACATAGGGAAGTATGAGTTTTGGTGTTAAAGTGAAATCTTAGCAGGGGGGGGGGGGTGTGAGAGAGAGAGAGAGAGAGACACACACACACATGTTTTCCATGTGATTCTACATGGGGAAGGTGGAAAGACTGCTCCTCTCACCTGTATTTGTGCCATCGATTTCCAGGGTGATAGGAGAGCTGGACGGGAGCGTGCAGACCCCATCGGTGGGTTTCTGCACCAGGACAGCACAGTCCGTCATGGTCTGGGACAGCTGTGTGGCCAGGCACAGCAGGGCTGCCTCCTTGGAGTTGCTCTTGATTGGGTTCTTCTTGCTGACCTGCGGGATCCCACCTCTGCGCAGCACTTTGAGCAGGATGCGGTGGAGTGAGGAGTACGCAGGGCAGTCTTCAGCTGGGATCCTCAGGAAGGCAGAACAGTCCTGCCCTAATCTATGCAGCCAGTCTGCCAGGGGAGCTCTGAGTGCCTCCTCCTTGTCCACATGCCTCTGGAAGAGGGAGAGTGCCTGACGGAAGTGGTAGTGACGGGGAAGCTCCCCCGGTAGCAGTGCTGCGTATTTATCTGCCTTGAGGTTCATGCCCAGGATGCTGATCCCAAAGCGGTTGAGGATTTTGTTGCCAGGGTATCCGGCAACGGCAGCTTGGCCTTGATTTTGGGAAGCCCAGTACCAGGCCTGCCCCCCAATCAGCAGCCCTCCCCCCTCCGCCACAAAGGCCTGGATCTTCTCTGTCTCTTGGTTGCTGTGAGAAGGGCAGCAATAGACGCTCATGTCGCCCGTCAGCGCTGATACCCGGTACTTCTGGCCCTCCTGGGACAGCAGGGAACACAGCCCCTTCAGGGGGGCAGCAACCCCAACCAGCCCCTGCCTCCCAGCGTCCAACCAGTGTACAGCATTGAGCAGGAACTCTGCCAGCTTTGGGGCACACAGCTGGCCCTCATGAGACGCCACCACCACCCGGCCCCGGCCATAGCGCGCTGCAGCAAGGAAGCAGCGGTGGGACCTGTCCAGGCCGAGGGGGAAGGCCAGCACCCCATGCACCAGCAGTGGGGAGGGCACCCCGCCGGTCACTATATCCAGTTCCGACACACCATTGAGGAGAAGCTCTACATCCTGGCTGAGATTAGCCCCGTGCCTGCAAAATCAAGAGGCATCCCTGTTTAGGCCCAATCCCAACATCCTTTATACAATCACAGAATCATGAGGGATGCTAGGGGCACACAACAGGCCATCCCTAGCCCATCTCCTCCCCTGCCCACACTCTTTGGTGCTGCTCGTCACAATTTTATAGTGAGTCTGGTGCTAGGTGGAGTTTTTCTGAACTGCAGTCTCAGCCTTCGTTTTTAAAGAGTCCGTTTGTAGCCTCAGAGTTGAGCTTGAAAACGTGTCCCAGGTGCGATCTAGAGGCTCCGAACCCAGGAGACCAAAGAAAAGAACCCAACCTTTACTGTGTGTTTTGGGTTGTTTTAGCTCTCCTGATTTCTAAGCCAATCTCCACTGGCCTGACTCATGATTTTTGAACCCCTGGGGTTGGCAAAACTATGAGGCCTAGCATGCCTAAGCCACCTCAGAAATGCATCCTCTAGTCAAGCCTGAAAGATTTGCCAGTGCCTTTTCCTTAACTATCCCACTGCTACTGCTCAGAAGAGAGGACTGCCTCTGTCCACACATACACATCAGTGACTCAGGCTGAAACAAGTCTCTGATCTCTGTAAAGTGTAGCCACCTTTTTCCTAGCCATTAACCTCTGCTTCCCAGTGCTCCTATTTCTCTTCACTCATACTTATCATTTTACCCTCTGCTGCCCCTGCATGGCTCTTGCAGTTAAAACCGTGTCGAGTGCTGTGGTTTTATTTCCCCCTGACTTTGCTGTATAATTTTACCAAACTTAATTTTCCCTTTGTCACTTGTGATGAATCTGCTGCTATCTGGAACCTCTGAATTTTCCACCCAAACAAAAAAACCAACCACTTGATAGAGTGTGAGAGTAAATAACACCTGTGTATCCATAGGGCAGGAATTAAAAACCCTGGCCTCCTCATTTGATTTCTTCTCCCAGCTTCTTTGCCACACATGACACCAATCCCTTAAAGCTCAGTTTTATTTGCTACAGGTGAAATTTACAACTATGCTGGCGGCCAGAACACGGTGAATGCACCATTTAAGCCCCACTTAAACTCTCAAAATAGGGTGAATTCCACCCTAAGTAAAAATTCCCAAAGCACAATAATCTCCATACAACTTTCCTGAGAGGAAAGCCTCCCACACACCTTGTTGCCAATGCCCTGCAGGTGAGAACATGACAATCAATCAGCAACTTGTAATAAGTAACTTAATTACATTAATTTGTAGTTGTGTCCTGAGCACCTTTCCACATCCTACGGCAAAGATTCTCTTTACCTTTGTAATAAAACAAACCCAGCAGCTAGAGAGCAACAAAACCAGTCATCCAGTTGGAAGAGAGAAATGGAGTTTCATAACACAGTGCTAGGGAAGGGGAAGGGATTGGGGAGACAAAAATCTGTGGGGAAAATTTTCTTACAACAGCTGTGGCTTTAACTACAATGAAATGAAGTGGCCACGTCGTAAAAGCAAAGCAACATTTGTGGTCATTAAAGACCCCATTGCACTTTGTGGAAGTCAGAAGCCCAGATTCTGAACTGTGCCAGGCACAGCGTGGGAGTGGGGGCAGGACGAAGATGGCTGGGCACGGGCCAGCTGGGAGCTTGTCTGGTTTCTTGTGTAAACCCAAACCTTTACACCTATTGTTCTTGGCCTGAGGCACAGTCTGCCTGCCAGGCTCCACCCACAAGATACCTGCATTTCAGTCATAAAGGCTCCGTCCAACTCTTGCCGGAGCCAATAGGAGACTTCCCACTGACTTCAGCGGGAGATGATTGGGACTCCGAAAGCATGATGCATTATCCAAGTAACATAAGGAATACTCTGTGTCTGTTTTCTAAAGCACATTCGTTAATTGGAATTTTTAAAATATAGAATCATAGAAATGAAGGGCTGGAAGGGACCTCCAGGGGTCATCTAGAGGCAGGACCATCTAGACCAGTGATACTTAAACATCAGTGGTTCAGGAGCCAAATTAGTGATCAACATTACCCAAAACAGCCACAGTAGCATGAATTCATTATATCATTTACTTTAGGGCTATTCATATGTTAACAGTATGATGGGGAAATATTTGTATATAAATATTATTCTCACGGCAAAGAAGTTAATAACTTCATGCAAGTTTATAACTTAGTTGATTAATAACAGCATAAAAGCATCCTGATTGGTTAATAACTTAGACTAGTTAATAATTAAATCAGTGTTGTAATATCATGTGCTGCAAAGAACCTCAGGAGACACATTAAAGAGCCACTTGCGGCTTGCCAGCCCCAGTCTGAGTATCACTGACTAGACCATCCCTGACAGGTGTTTGTCCAACCTGTTCTTAAAAACTTCCAGTGATGGGGATTCCACAACCTCCCTTGGAAGTCTGTTCCAGTGCTTAACTATCCTTAGAATTGGAAAGTTTTTTCCTAACATTTAACTGAAATCCCCTCACTGCAGATTAAATCCATTAATTCTTGCAACTACGTTTTAAATAGTACAGTATTTCAATGAACCTGCTGGCTTGGTACTCAGTAGCTTCCCCTCACCTTGGCTGAGCAGCAGGGAAAGAGGCTAACCAGTGAAGGATGCTGGGTTACTCAGTTCAGTACTCAGCCAGTAGAGAGCTCCATAATCCCTAGGGGACGGAAGAAAGGAAGAAATGTCCTGAGGGCTGAGAGGGCCTGGCTCAGGTGGGATCCAGGGGACAAGCTGGCCCTGAGAGCTGGGCAGGGAAACAGCTAGTTGCCTGTTGTTGGCAAGGGAGCTGTGGCAGCAGCAGGGGCATCCCGAAGCTGAGGGATGCATTGTGTTCCTCCTCAAACAGCTTAGAGCATGATGAATGCCTCAGGCATGTTCCCATTTTATAGGGACAATCACGATATTTGGGACTTTTTCTTATATAGGCACCTATTACCCCCACCCCAGTCCCATTTTTCATACTTGCTATCTGGACACCCTACGGGTCACACTCCCTGTTCTGTCTGAGGTGCCTGCAACGTCACACAACCCTAGAGTACACAGCTGAGAAAAGAGAAAGGGCCAAGAATGGCTATTACTGCTCTCCTTATCCTGTGTGCAATAGACTCCCTGGAGCCTACCAGACAGTCAGTGCTCAGTGCCCACAGACATGACCCCCTCCCCCTCACGGCCCTGCTGATATTCTCTCTTGGGAGGGAAGCAGTCCTTTTGGATTCCATAGCTTAACCCAGTGCCAAATGACTAGCCAGGACACCTCGCTCTTTTTAATTTAGGGTTTGATTAACTAAAGGATCCCCCACCCTTCCCTGCTCGGATAATGATCTGCACCACTACCACCACCCTGGATATCTGAAAATGGGGTGTTTCCCCCCTTTCTCTGGCATTTATGTAAAACTCTCACTTTATTGGGGCAAAGCCAATAATGGGAAAGGTGATAAGTGTTACTCACGGGACGATCAAGGGGATCTTTGGGATCTTTCCCGAGACTTTGAAGATCCCTGGCCCCACTGTATTGCCGGTGAAGTACACGCCAGCCACGCTGGTCACTCGGTTCCCAGGGAATTCAAACAGCACCTTCTCCGCACCATGTTGACTAGCCCAGTACCAGGCCTGACCACCGATGAGCAGGCCCCCACCTCCCTTTACAAAGTGGACCAGCTCCTCTGCCTGAGCGTCGTCATAGGCATCTGTACAGTACACCCCTAGAGAGGCACTGAGCCCCACACCAGGCTGCACTTTAGTGCTGGACCTTAGGAGCAGCTGAGAGAGAGGATCCAGGCTCCTGTGGACTCCAACCTGCGCCTCTGGGGAGGGTCTGAGCCAGTCCACCGCGTTCCTAAGGAACTGGGAAAAGTTGGGATTCTTCAGGATTTCCTCGTGAGAAACGACCACCATCCGTCCCTTCCCATAGTGAGAAACAGCGATCAGTACCTGCTTCTCAGGGCTTACCAACACCGGGAATGCAGCGTCTCCTGTGAGCAACAGCTCACAAGGAACAAAATTTCCAGTAAAATCCCACTGCCCAACACCATCCACCAGCAGCTCATAGGTGGCAGCGGGCTTCATCTTCAGTTTCCTTTTATCTGACAGGAAGGAAAAAGATTATTAGGGTGCAGCTCGACTCTGAAAAGTGACTGTCAATGACCATGTTAATTGTCCCACAAGGAGCCCCCAGCAAATAGGCTTTGTTTACAAAAGAGGGTGCCAGCCCTGCACACACTGGGAGCTGGCTTACAGCAGAAAATTAGATCAACCCTGCTATGTTGCTCAGAGGTATGAAAAATCCACATCCCTGACTGGCATAGTGAAGCCAACCTAAGGCCCCGTGTAGACAGCACTAGGTTGGGAAGAATTCTTCTGTGAACCTAGCTACTGCCTCTCAGGGAGCTGGATTAGCTACAGCGACAGGAGAACCCCTCCCATTGGCATAGGTGATATCTATGTTGAAGTGCTACAGCAGAGCAGCTGTGCCGCTGTAGTGTTTCAAGTGTAGATAAGCCCAGGGTATGTGTACACAGCATTTTGGAGCCCACAGCAGCATGCCTCCCAGTCCAGGTTGACAGAGTGGCTTTTGGCGACAAACCAGCGATAGTGTACACACTGCAGGGTCACTTTTTTCGAAAAAAACCCGCCTAGTTTTGGCGACAAAAAACTTCCACCCCTGCGAGAGACTTTTGTCTTTTCCCCTCCCTTTATTGTCGACAAACAGCTAGTGTAGACACCACAGGTTTTTTTTCCATTTTTTATTGACCTCCAGAAAGTATCCCACAATTCCCCTGCTGCCGCTCTGGTCAGCGGTTTGAACTCCGCTGCCCTGCGGCCAACCCGCCCCTCCCCCTTGCAAGCCCCGGGACTTTTAAATCTCATTTCCTGTTTGCTGGCTTCCCAGAGGAGCTTTCCAGGTGGCTCCCCAGGTGAGCATGGCTGGCCATCGCATCAAACGGGCTCCCGCTTGGAGCACCGCTGAGCTGTTGGATCTGATCCGTATATGGGGAGAGGCAGGGCTGGTGCAAGGATATTTTGCACCCTAGGCAAAACTTCCAACTTGCACCCCCCCCTCCCCTCCCCCCGGAGCATCGCTTATTATAAACTTTCAAAAATGAATACTGCATAATGTGGCATTGTTCATTAGAATTAATACAAGGGGGTCAGAGGAGATGATAACAACGGTCCCTTCTGGCCCGGGTGAACCTATGAGCAAGGAGGAGGCTGAGAATGCCCCCAGCTTGCAGGGTCTCTAAACGTTCCCAGGCTCTGAGTACTTCGCCCTCCGGGGAGGACCCAGGGGCAAGGAGGGCAGAGCCGGGCTCTCCCAGGGAGCAGGTAAGGAACTCCCTGGGGATCAGGGTCGGCTCCCCCCATTGGCACAGTGCCACTGGGGGGGGGGGTCAGTGTTTGGAAGCGGCACCTGCGCCTGCTCTTTCCCCTCCATTGCGCTGCGGGGTTTAGTTTCACTTTCCCTCGCCCCAGGAGACGGCTGCGCCAGGCCCCAGGCGTGGCGCGTTGGAGGGCGAAGCTCACCTGAGCTCAGGACCGTGTCCTGCCTCCCCCAACAGTTCTGTCCCTTGGCCGCACTGGTCGCCGCACCCGGCCAGCTGTCTCCTCCTTGCTCCGGCGCAGGCTCCCACTGACCGTCCTGCGCGGCGCCCCTCATTGCGGGGGTGGGTTTGTTATGGAGGCCTCACTCCCCGTCCTGCCCCACTCAGCTGACTCCCGTGACATCAGACACCGCTTTTTGGCGCCCCCAAATCTTGGTGCCCTAGGCGGCCGCCTAGTTCGCCTAGTGGTTACACCGGCCCTGGGGAGAGGAGTCTGTTCAGTCACAGCTGCGAGTGACCCATAAGAATCAGGAAACATATGAGCAAATTTCTCAAGGCTTGTGGGAAAAGGCATATGATCGGGACACGCAGCAGTGCAGAGCGAAGATAAAGGAGCTGAGGCAGGCATACCATAAGGCGCAGGAGGTGAACCATCGCTCTGGTGGTGCACCAAAGACGTGCCGTTTCTATAAGGAGCTGAAAGCTATCCTTGGTGGTAACCCCACCTCCATCACCAATAGCTCCGTGGATACTTCGCATGCAGCTGAAAGAGGGGGTAATCCAGAGGCTGAAATTGTCGATGAAGAAGTCGAGCTAGAAGAGGATGTGGTGCTCCCAGCGGGGTCGCCCGGTGGGGCAGGCAGCCAGGAACTTTTCTCCACTCCAGAAGTGCTCAACGGGGAGCAGGAAGCAGATGAGAGTCCGGGTAAGTTGCTGTGGCTTGTGTAGGGAACTGAAAAGAGGGAGGCAGGTAGTGTTTTCTGTGAGCTGGACATTGCCATGTGTAGCTAATCTGCATGGCCAAGCAGGGTGTTGATGGACATCGAGACCTGCAGGGAATCCTCCAGAGAGAAGCTCTGGAAAGTTTCCAAGAGGTACTTGTTAATCCTCTGCTGCAGATTCCAAGGGATTGCAGCCTTGTTAGTTCCCCCACTGTAGGAAACTATACTATGCCATTTAGCAATCAGTGGAGCTGGGACCAAAGCGGCATATAGACCGGGCTGAAAGTCACAAGCATTCAGCAGCTGAGCCCTGGTTTCCCTGGTCACCCTAAGCAGCGAGATGTCAGCCAGCAGGTTGGCTGCCTGTGAAAAAGTATGGGATAATTTTAGAATGAGTTTCCTGCAAAGCTGCCCTGCAAGCCGTGACCTTTTTGTCCATATGCACAACCACCTTCCCCCCACTCCCAAAACTCACCATGATTGGGATGCTCACGAGCTGTATGCCTGCCTAGAGTCTCAGAGAGAAAGTGATTTCTACTAGCAAAATGCCCTTTTTACTAAAATGTTTCAATCGTTTGCTGGAATGTAACAATCCCTCTTCTGTTCAGCACAGACCTTGAAGAACACATCATGCACCCCCGCGGACCGGCTGCGGCAGATAAGAAAAAAACCCTCGGCGCAGCAAAGAAGACATGTTCCGCGAGGTTCTACAGCGCGATGAGAGACAGACCAGGGAACGGAAAGAGTGCTGGGAAGCCGAAAGGCAGGACAGAAAAGAGAATGCTGCTTTTGCTAGGCAAGCGACAGAACAGATGATAAAAGTTATGGAGGATCAGACAGAAATGCTCAAGTCCTTGATACAGCTGCAGACTGAGCAGATCCGAGTTTGAGCGTCACTGCAGCAAATGCACAATTCTTTGCCAACCCCCCCCCCCCCCCGCCCACACATTCCTTTTCACTCCACAGCACTCCTGAGTTTCCCCATCACTCCACCCCCTCTCACAGCTTGCACAGTGATAGTTGGAGCTACACATAGTTGTGAGGTTTTACCCTTTTTAACAATAAATAAAGGCTAAGGTATTTAATGGTACAGCGTTTTTATTCTGTGTTCTACAAAAGCGTATAGCAATCAATTCACTCTCGGGAACAGGCTTCTAAAGCATTGTGTTGCATGGATCTTGGGCCCCAAAATTGTACATGGATGCAACAGGGAAGCAACTCCAAAGCAGACGTGTTACTGCCCCTCATTGTCAAAGTGGTTCCTCAAAGCCTCTCTGATGTTCATAGCAGCCCTCTGGGCTCCTCTGACATCCCTAGCATCTGGCTGTTCAAACTGTGCAGCCAAGCGCTCTGCCTCAGTGCTCCACACCTGAGCAAACATTTCACCCTTAGAGTCACACAGATTATGCAAAGTGCAACACGCGGCTATCACCACGGGAATATTATCCTCAGTAAGGTCTAGCCTGCCATTGAGACACCTCCAGTGAGCTTTCAAACGGCCAAAGGCCCATTCGACTACCACGCGGCACCTGCTCAGCCTGTTGTTAAAACGCTCCTTGCTGCTGTCCAGGTGCCCTGTGTAAGGTTTCATGAGCCAGGGCTGTAAGGGGTAAGTCGTGTTTCCCGGGATTACTATGGGCATTTCCACATCCCCCACTGTGATCTTGTGGTCTGGAAAGAAAGTCCTCACCTGCAGCTTTCTGTACAGGCCACTGCTCCTGAAGATGTGTGCGTCATGCACCTTTCCAGACCAGCCTGCATCGATGTCCGTGAAACGCCCCCAGTGATCCACAAGCGCCTGCAATACTATGGTGAAGTATCCCTTCCTATTGATGTATTCAGAGGCAAGGTGGTCTGGCGCTAAAATTGGAATGTTTGTGCCATCAATCACCCCGCCACAGTTAGGGAAACCCATCTCTGCAAAACCATCCTCTATTTCATTCACATTTCCCAGAGTCACGGTCCTATGCAGCAGGATGCGATTTATTGCCCTGCACACTTGGAGTAATACAGCCCCAGCAGTGGACTTTCCTACTCCAAACTTATTTGCAACTGACCGGTAGCAATCTGGATTCGCCAGCTTCCACACAGCGACTGCAACATGCTTCTCTACCGGACGTGCAGCTCTCAATCTGTTGTCCTTGCGCCGCAGGTCGGGGGACTGCTCAGCACATAGCTCCATGAAGGTTGCTTTACACATCCTAAAGTTCTGTACCCACTGGTTATCATCCCACACCTGCATGGCAATGCGATCCCACCACTCAGTGCTTGTTTCCCTAGCCCAAAAATGACAGTCTAACATATGCAGCTGCTCTGTGAATGCATAAATCACTGATAAGTTGCTGCCGTCCATATCACACTCGGGTGCCTGCGATTCATCCTCTGCTAACTTTGCGAGTAACTCTGCGAGTAACTGTGCTGCCATGCGCGATGTCCTCATGACAGCTAACAGCACATAGGAGAGAAGTGCGGGATCCATCCTCTCTCACTGCAGATGCTGGCACGCACTACAAAAGAATGAGTTGGGAAAACGGCACGAAGAAGCCAGAGACCTTTGGACGGGTGGGACACAAAGCGGTGCATGACAGTACATTTTGCACATCCCAGGATGCGCCACACTCTGTTTCCGCATTCCCACAACACCTAGCAACGGATGGTGTCGCCAGGGACTGTGGGATACATACCCACAGTCCATTGCTCTCACTGTCAACAAAGGTGCCCTGAATGTGGACACGATCTGTCGACAGAGGGAGCAAATGTAGATACACTTTGGCGACTTTGCTTTCGTCGATTTTTCCTTGGCGACATTAGTTTCATCGAAAAAACTTGCCAGTGTAGACAAGCCCACACAGCTAATTCTAGAGTACTTGCAGGAGCCCTGCTAGCCTGAATCTCTCAGTCCAGGCTGGGACATTGGCTAACGCAGGCTCCAAAATGCTGTGTAGACACACCCTCAGGCTCTCCATCGTCTTTGCCTTCTCCCTTTCTGCTTCTCCAGCACTTGGAAGACATATCACCTTTCTCAGCGGGTGGGTGAGGGGATTTTGTCTGTTTGGGGGTTTTTTAAGCATTGTGTGTCATTTAAACAGAAAGACATGACAAGAATAGAATCAATTCTCACCAGAGCAAAATATTTAGACATGGAAAAAACTACTGACATAACTAATCCCATTACACATCATGAAAGAGGTAAAGCAAAAAATGACAAACCCAACCAGCAATAAGAATTTCCCATTCAGACTTTCCTTGTGGCGTGGAGATGTGCCAGAGACTGCACCAGAGACTGCACCAGAGACTGCTATTGCTCTTGATTTTACATGAAAGATGCTCAGATACTACAATGCCAGGTGGCAGTATAAACCCTGAAGATAGATAAAGAGATATAGAGAGAGAGCTCGATCTGCAGGTAAAGAATTAATCCCCAGGAGACATACTCTGTATTACCTACGTGCAATTTCTTCTCCTTTATCAGGCAGTAGAGAATTTCAACAAATTCTTCTCCTTTATCAGGCAGTAGAGAATTCAGGTAAAATGTTCAAATGCTCCTGAAGTCGATAGGAGCCAGGACCCTTATTTAAGTGCCTATATTTAGGCACCCAGCTTTGAAAAGATTGGCCGAAATCTTAATCGAAACGACCTCCATCGCTAAGCCAGTGCTCCTTCTTACCAGACTGTCCAAACAGCAAAGCTTAGGGGGTGGGGTGTTTGAGTCGGTGCCAATCAGCTTCTGCCACTCAGGAGCCCCCAGTGCTGACTCAGTGCAGGGCAAAGAAATGCCTGGGAGAGGAAGAAACCAGCAGGCTTTGGGGCAGGGCTGCCCCTCCCCACCCTGTGCTGTCCCAAGCAAACACTGAAGCCACACCTAGCTGACTTTCACAATCAGCCACTGAACGGTCATGTAATATTTGGCTGCCCTGAAAGCGAGTCACTCAGCTTTGGGTGGAGGAACAGGATCTTCCATCCGGATTCATTTATTACCTGCTCCAAGGGGCTCAGAAATCGTGCCCCACCCAACAGTCATGGATCTATTAACCCATTGCTTGTCTTTGGACGTGCAAGAAATGTCCTCCATCTTGCCCAAACATGCCGGAGATTTTGTTGCTGTTCAAAACTTTTCAAAGTGATTTTAGTAATTGTGAGCAGTACTGATTAACCCTAGGGAAACCGTGCCCAATCCAGAGAGTTTAACCCTGCTTGCTGGTTTCATTCTGAGCTCCACCTTTGCCACTCTGGGCTTCAATGGGCCCTAAACTGAAAGGTAAACTCCAGAGTTTGAAAACCACACAATATGAGAAAAGTTTGACACAAGCTGTGAACTGAAACCAGCAAGTTTTACACAACTCTAGTTAAGTGATTTGCCCAAGGTCACACAATGATCCAGTGTCGGAGCTAGGGACTGGAAGGCAACCAAGTAGTCGTTATTCTCTGGGCCTGATTCTCTACTCCATCACACCAGTTTTACACTAGTGTAACTTCACAGACAGATTTACACTGGTGTAAGTGAGAGGAGAATCAGGCTCCTGTCATTTACTCTAAAGACTAAATAGTCAGATTATGTATCCTTATTCAAACTGAGAAGTACCCTATGCGACTACTCATGGAGTAAGGTATTCCTCATCTTGGGGTAAGAGTACCAAAATCTGGCCCTAAATCCTTAGTCTGTACTTCCTCCTGTTTTAAGGTATACAAACTGACATGAAGGCCCTGCTCCTGCCAAGGGATCTGCACAGACACTTACCGAAAACACTGCATGTCAGTGCAGTGTGGACGAGTTGGGAACTGTTTTAATAGCTCCATTATCCCACCAATCATAACTTAGATTTCTTGACTTTCATATATGTAAAAATACAATTTTAATATCGCATTTGCCTTCCCTTCACCCCTTCATTTAAAATCTCCACGGGCTCTCAATTAATCTGGCACCTTTTTACCAGCAGTATTACAATTATTAATTATTGTATAGCTCCCAAAGGTGTGCTAAGTGTCTCACAGAAGACAAAGAAAGGCTCTGTCCTGACCTCAAAGAGTTTCCAGGTTACAGCTGAGGTCTGTACAGCACCTAGCACAAAGGGGTTGTGGTCCTTGACTAGAGCTCCTAGGTGCTCCAGTAATAGAAATAAGAATTAATAATCATGTGACAGGAGTTGGGGAGTGCATGGAGTGAGGAAGGGCCAGGGTGACAGCAGTATCATCACCCTCCTGGGGCAACCATCACTAAGAATAGGGGATTTTTTTAATGACTCACAAGCTCATCCAGGTCAGTTCTGCTCTTGGGTAAGAAGAAAGTCCCTGATAGGTGAAAAACATTGGTCTGTCAGCCTGACCATAGGAGTCACCCCAGGGACTGAGAAAACCACAATCACAGAAATGTGAAAGATCTGGTTCACTGTTAAATCACACCAAGTGCATCCCACTTACCCCTCTCAGCCCGTGTAGGATTGTGTCCTAGAGTATTAGCCAGTGCTTTGTGCAGGCCAGTTTTAACACCCCTCTCCCCTTTAGGAGACTAATCCACTAATACATCTTTCCACAGCCCTTTTCTCCCCTGGCCCTTCACATGTATGTAGAAAAACAATCTCAGTTCCTTCTCACCTACTCGGGTCCCAGCAGGGGGAGTCACTCACTCACATACAGAAGTCTCTGCTTCCTGCTGCAATCCAATAGTCAGATTAATGTTTTGGACTTCAGATCCGTCACAATCAGAGTCCTCTTTACGAGGAAATGAGGGGAACGGAAGAGGAGACAGTGATGGAGCCAGAGGGGAGGAGTCAGGGGAGGGAATTCCCAGCCTCTCCAGCTGGTGTCAAAATTCCATGAGAGGAGGCTGTCAGTTCAGGAAATCCCACCCCACAAGCATGTCACTTAACAGAGGAGGTTTTTCTCAGACTGTTTTGCTTACTTCTCACTCCTCTAGTAAGACACTGCTTGTCTCTATTCACTGTGCTGTTTCAGGATTGCTAATGTCTCCTGATGCAGTCAGGGTCATGTTAAAACCAAGCAGTAAAAGTGCATACTCAAAAAAGGCAGCAGAAAGAGGTTTTAAGAGCTTGTTTTGGTGCATACAAGTTGGTTTCTCTTTTCTTGCTGGTTAAAAGTGACAGCCCTGATGGCTGTAAACTGCTGATTCATTGTACATAGGAGTCCAAGAGCAGTTCTGTATTGTGCAAATTCACAGATTTTAAGGTCTGACTTCCTGCAGAATACAGGCCACTGAACTACCCAGTAGCTCCTGTATATAGCCCAATAACTTGTAGGACAGAACTTATCTGTTTGGACACTCACAGTGGCATGGTGCAGAGTTAGAATTTCAATTTAGAGATGCAATCAGGGAGGCAGGGATGAATGAGCCTTATGCTTTTGATCCAGTGCAGGCAGAAGAACTGGAAGCAGACGAGCTCTCTGTGCAGAGACAGACAGAGAACACATAGTGCAAAGCAGAAACACTAAATACATCTGAAGGCTTGGGAGGAAAACTTCAGCAGGCAGCCGTGTGTGTGGTGGGGAGAAAGCAGCAGAGGGATGCTGTGTATTTGCGTGGAGGGAGGATGGTGGAATAGCAGGAACCCAGGAGTTCGAGCTCCTGGCCTCCTCTGCTATAAATACTAGAGAACTCCCACTGGATGCAGGAATGGAACAAAAGAGTCCTGACCACCAGACCCCTGTTCTAACCACTAGATAATTGTTCCCCACAGCACTCCCCACAGAACCCAGCAGTCCCCACTCTGTCCCATTCAAACACAATCCCTCTAGATAGTGGCAGCAGAATCCAATAGTCCTGATACACTTGCTCCAAACACTATATTGCTCCAAACACTATATAGCTCTCCATCACTGCGCTTGGAACAGAATCAAGGAATCCTGACTCCTACTTCCCCCCACACCCCAGGCTCTAACTACTAGATCACACTCCCCAAGGGCTGGCAATAAAACCTAGGATTGGGCCTAGGTAGGCTTGTAAACTGTCAGATGAACAGCTGCACCTAAGAGTTTATAAGCTCTGCTGGCACGTACAAGAGGCCCTGTATATGAGCAGCCATCCCATGCCAACGGTTCACTGTACCACTGATGAGCACTCACTCTCCTCTCAGCCCAGACACACAGACAGATGGTAATTAGTGTCAGCCCTTTCCATTGGGCTGTTCTTCTGTCCTGGTGTAGATGGCGACAAGATAGAGTATCAGAACCAGTGACACAGTAGCTCCAATCTTCAGGAAAGACAGAAAGAGGATTAAAAATAATCTGAGAGTAGCCCATGGCCTTCCCTTTCCTCTGTTCACTTGTCCCAACCCCATAATAGTCATTCTAATACATGGTCATTAACAATAAGTGTACTAATAAATTATAATAAATCAAAGAAAACGGTAAAGATAATAACTAGTCTAGAATAACAAACAAGATTAAAGTGATGGGAAAGATCAGAATGAACAGTAAATACTTTACTAATATTAAATTGTTACTAAGAAGTATAATTGCTAATGGTGAGCAATAAAAATAATGAGGGTAATTCTCAGAATAATTAATAGCTCTTATTTCTACTGGTAATGTCTCCTTCATTCAAAAGTAAAATGTCATTTACAACTACTCTAATAATCCTAATAAATCATTAATGATCACAAATAGTAAGACAAATCTGGCTAGTTTCCCAGGCAGTGAGGAAGCTCTGGGCCCCGTGCGGGAATGAGGCAGCTCTGGCAGAGCTAGGAAAGAAACAAAGCAAAACACTGACTCAACAGTTCCTGGGACTCTGGGGCCGTGGGGTTCGTGCACTGAAACCCTGCATTGTAATAGGGACCAGAGAATCTTTATCCCCAGTAACAGTCACACTTGTAGTTACAGCAGCTAATGTGGGATAATGGCCCTGTAACGGGTTGTGCTCACCACCGTGGCGCCGTCTGCTGATTGCTCCGGGAATTAGCTCTGTCCGTCAGCAGGGTGCCCTCCTCTTGTGGTGTCTCACTCTCAGTCACTGCTTCTCCACCATCTCCGCTGTCTGTGGGGACTGGCTTCACTCCCAGACAGCATCCTCTTCAGGGCATGGCCCTCCGGCTGTGCCCCAACTCCGCTGTCTCCCCCCCTTCCGGGGGAACCGACAGTCCTTCACCTGGCCTTTCATTGCAGTGGCGAACTGCAGCCCCTAGTCCATCCTTCGCTCAGGGGCAAACTGCAGTCCTTTGGCTGGCCACTTCCTTTGGCGGCCAGTGGGGCAAAGAAGGGGGGCAGGCCTACCCACTACTCTGGGCCCCACCCCGGGGACCGTCTAGTTGGCAGCCGCTCACTGCCTCTCCTTCCCCTCTGCCACTACCTGCTTTCACCTTTTTGGTGACAGTAATGTTCATCCATTTGGGTACATCCATTTGCAAACAGACTGTTAAGGAGTAAGAAAATTAAGTTTGTACAGAATAAATCTTCCCAGGCAATTTGAATTGCTTTTTAAAAAGTAGAAGTTCAAAATTAGTGGATGAAATAAATGCAGCAGAGATCATGTATTTAGATTTTTTTAAACAAAAATTATATTGGATTTCATGAAAACTTAATTACAATGTCTTAGACAAAAATATTATCTTATGGTTGGAAGACAGGCTAAAAGACCATAAACAAAAGTAATGATAACCAGTACCCAGTAGGGTACCACAGAGATCAGTGCAGAATCTAGTCTTATTTAAAATTTACATTAATGATCTGGAAAGGGGAGTAAACATCAGGTTAGCAAACCTGGTAGATAATACTAAATAGGGAATAGCTGCACATGGCCGTGCAGAAAGAGAAAAAACATTAAGGGGGCTAGAGAGAAGAAGAAGAAAATAACAAAATGAGATTTGGCATATAGTTATCATGTGCCACCTTGTTGCATTAGCCCAGCTATATATATTTAGCTCTTTTAAGCCCCGATTTGGAAAGGTGTTTAAAATTAGGTAGGAGCTTAAGCACCTTGCTGAACCAAGGCCTTAGCCTTTTCTCATAGATCAGTCTCTCCAATCCCTGATATTTTTTCTCTTTGCTGAACTCCCTTCCGCTATAATGTGGTACTCAAAGCTGGATGCAGTCTTTCAGGTGTGCTTGAACAGCTGTACAGAGAGGAACTCTCTGCTCCATGCCTTTGTTTATGCTGCTCTAAACTGGCCTTTTTTACTACTACATCACCTTGCAAAGTCGTGTCTAGATTGTTGCTCCCTCTCACCCCTACTGCCCATTACATATTTGTTTCAGATTTTTTTTCAGATGCATTAGTTTGCAAGCTGATTCTTATTTGGTTAGTTTACGACCCTGTTTCTAATCTCTTTAGATCCCTGTGATAGGTCTTACCCCCCATCACCTGCCAGGCTAGGAAATGCACCCAATTAGTCAGGCTTTGCATCTGTCATGGGGCTTTCCATGGAATTCTCCCATTGCCATAGGTGCATCTTCACTAAAGTGCTACAGTGGCACCGCTGCAGCTTTTTAAGTGTAGATCTGCCCTCAGTCAGCACCTGTTTAGATCTAGAGTAATTCCATTAACTCTCAGGGAGTTATTTTGTATTTACATAAATGTAACTGAGAGCAGAATTTGCCTGTTCTAATGCAAAAAAATCATTTTAAAACAGGAAAAATGGTATAGCTGTTTCCACCAGTGGTTCTCCAGCTGTGACCGGTGGAGAGCAGGCTGGGCACATACATACGTGCTAAGTTCTGTGCAGCTCCACATGGAACATTTCTCAATAGTGAGAAAAAGTCACTGATTTCCCCTTCGGGGGTCCCCCAAATAGGGTTACCACCTTTGAAATGCAAAACCCCAGGCACCCCTCTGCCCCCCGCAAGGCAAGCCGGCCGCAATTCCAACCCCCAACCATAAGGCAACTCTGCAACCCTCCACTTCAACCACTAGAGAGATCTAGAGACAGTATCTAGGGAGATATCACATATAGATAAGATTGGTAACATCATTTTCTTTCTTAAACTGTGGCAGTTGGAACACTGCAGCACCTTTAGCCGAACACAGAAACTTTTAACGTTAGATATCCCAGTGTATTGTGATGATAATGCAAATCATTAGACACCCGTAAAAAAAAAACAAAAAAACTGGCAGCTTAAATTATTTTTCTGGGAAATACATAAAAAAACCTGGCCAGGCCAGTCAAATATTGGCCAGGTGGTAACTTTACCCCCAGACCATGATTGCAGGTGAAGGGGCCTTTTTACTGCATATCTCAGCAGAAAGGTGATGTGGGAGGGAATATGGGGAACTGGGTACATGATAGGAGCCAGGGGGACCAGGCAGGGAGGAGGAAGCAGTCAGGTGCTGATGGGGTTGGGGTGCTGTGGAAGATGGATTGTTGGGGGGGGGGAGACTGGAGGGTCAGCGGGGGTGAGAGGAGCCTGGGGAAGCTGGAGAGGGCTGTTGGAGGCAGTGGGAGCCTGCAGGTTATTAGGGGTGAGGGGAAACCAGACACAGCCTCTCCCACTCTGTCCCTATCCCCATCAGCCTCCCCCAGCCCCTCTGCCTGTTGCTCACCTCTTTTCTCTACCAGCCATCTTCACCCTGCACTTGGCAGTGCGCCAGCCGGGGGAGCAGAGAGAAGGGAGGCAGAGAGTCTGCTTGAAATTGACACCACAGTGTCCCTTGGCAGCCGGGAG